AGCCCCATCCCTATCTCTCTGACCAAGGTGTGGGCTCCCTGAGGCAGAGTGCTGACAGTCTTGTTCGCCGAGCCTGGTACACAGTAGGTGCTCAATAAATGTGTCTGTGACTGATTGCAGGAGAAGGAATGGAACTAAGGTAGGGGTAGAGTTTACCATAGGTAGGCAGCCTGTGGACACTGGCTCCAGCCCTGCCCCCCTGGGCCTTGCCCTCTGAACTGGAGGAAATTTGGGCCAGCTTTCTGGAGGAGGAAACCCCTGCCTCAGAGGAAGTAGACACCCTGTGCTCCTCTGTACACCTGCCTGTCCTTCTTTCATCACAGCTTATTATCACTGATGTCTTATCTGCAGCTCAGCTGTGTGACCTTGGGAAAGTGACTTAACCTTTCTGTGCCCTGGTTTCTTCACATCTATAATGTGGAGCTAAGGGCCTGCCTACCTCACAGAGCTGTGCCCTCCTGTGTAGATAAGTAAGCTTGGAGCATGACGACCTTTGGACAAGTGTCTGCATGAGGACCTGCTCGTAGCCTTAGTCACTATGCCTCTGTGACTCCCGGCTGGACTCCGAGCTCCAGGAGGTCAGGACCCGGGTCTGCGTGCTCATGTGGGTTCCTGTCGCCCTCGTTAACACTACAAGCTGGCTATGAACTGTTAGAAGGTATGCAGGGCCAGACCCAGCCTGGGGAGGCATCTTCCCCAGGAGAGCACAGGCTGGGTCTCGGACTGCCTGGGCCAGCAGGTTCCTGGGAGAAGATTCTTTGGGGTTTGCTGGGCTCTGCAGCTGGGAGAGCTGGAAGTCAGCCCAGAGCCCAGACGGGGGCTCCCCGGGAGCTTGCGGGCGTCACCACAATCCCCAGGGCTGCCAGGTGCAGACAATAAACCCGGGAAACCCTGGCGGGTGAGTCATTAAGGGTCCCCAAGGCCTCATGATGGGAGACAGCAGATGAGCGGCCCCTGGCTCTTTGGGTCCAAGTGCCACTATTCAGGAGGGTTCCAGAGCCCAATTTGCTGGGTCTAACCGAACTCTGCTTCTGGCTCGGGCCCCGCCCAGCATCCGAGGCTGGCTCTGATGAGCCCAAATGGCGCGGTGAACACAGTGTCACCACTTTGCTAAGGCTGTTTACAGGGAAGTGTTGAGGCTTGTGGGGCTGCCTGGAGGTGGCAGCATGTGTTGTCTCCATGGAGGAGTTTAATGGTCTTTGGCAGGAGCCCCCGGAAGGTGCAGCCCATCTATCACTCAGGGCATATTTGGGAGGGAGTGACAACAGGACCCCAAAAGGCAGAAATGTCAGGGAAAGGGAGGCCATGGTGGGGGAGGGGGAACTTAGATAACAGGTACAAAGGCCGAGGGCGTGGAATGAGCAGGGGGCGTCCCCTCTCATGGCTAGGGCACAGGGTGTGTGTGTGTGAGTGTGTGTGTGTGTGTGTTCTGGGCTAGGGGAACACTGGCCTCTCCCCCTGCCGTGTCAACAGCCCCACTGGGCCCCTTGGCTCCCCCTGCCCGTGCTGAGAATCATGGCAGCAGCCTTGCTGCGGGGACTGTAACAGTCACCCCCCTTCCTGGGCTCCTGTTCCCGTCTGGGTCTAACAACAACCTCACCTCACTGTCATCCTAGGCCCAGGTGTCCACCCCATGCCCCGAACACTGGGTTAGCCCCCCATCCCAGAGCCGGGTCTCCCATCAGAGCACTTATCACTGTGAATTGCCCATTTGAGTCCATCCATGTCCCCCACCAGACTGTAGCCTCCTGAGGGCAGGGTGGTGCCCACCGTGCGCCCAGGGCCCAGCATGTGTGTGGCACACAGTAGGTGCTCAAGCAACTGCCTGCAGAATGAAAGTGAATGAGCCACCAGGGCAGCTCATGTTCCTGGAGCCCCGTGCAGGGCTGGCTTGCTCCGGTTACCCATCGCCATCGGGCCTCCGGCCCCCTCTCAGGCCAGGGCCTGGACTAGCATTGGGGCTGCCTTTCCCGCTCCCCAGGGGTCCAGCCCCGCCCTCTGAGGAATTCTGGAGGCTTCTGGCTCACAAGACCCTTTGCTCCTGTCCTTTTCTGTGCCAGTCTCCACATCTTCCCCGAATACACTTCTCTCCCTCCCAGACCCTGCCCTGGTTCTCCCTGCTTCCAAGGTGCCCCAGGTGGGGGGTGGGGGCAGGGGATGGGGCAGGAAGCATCTTCCAGGCCACTCTGCTTGCCCTGAGGAGGGGGAGCCCCAGGGTTGTCTGTTGGCGTCTCTTCCTGCTGAATTTGAATCCTGACTCCAACACTTGAAAATTAAGTGACACTGAAAAAGAAATGAACCTCTCTGGGCCTCGGTTTCCCAACAGTGAATGGCTGTTCTTCTGAGAGAATGCCTCTGTGTATGGCTGAAGGCTGGGCCCTGGCCTAGGACACGTGTGGATCTGGTCCCAGATCCAGCTCCTGCGGTTGCCACAGTCTGGGCGAGAGCCCCTAGCTTCTCTGGGCCTCAGTCTCCCCTGCAGAGGGACTAAAGAGATGCCCTTATAGGTGGAGAGGCCCTAAGAGATGGGGGAGCACTCAAGAGAAAAGAGCAGTGAATTTCTCCCTCTCCCATCACTTCCTTTTGTCCTGAATGGGAGTCATTCCTCCCTCTCCACCACCCCAAACCAAACCCAACTCCCACTGCTCCCCACCCTGGTTTGGCACAAGTCTGCCCAAGGGCCAGGGTGGGATGGGGGTGGGGGTGGGGGGTGAAATGGGGTGGGGGTTACCATTGCTCAGAATGAGAAGGCAGGCAAGAAGTGGAAGAGACCCGTGGCGGGGTACACTTGCCTTGCTCCCCAGAGATTCAGGGGGTCTGGGACTGTGGGGAGCAAACGCTGGGGCAACCATCTCCAGCCACAGCCACTTCCTCGGCCTTCCAGCTGCACTGCTCCCAGGAGCCCAGGAGGGACAGGCCACCTACCAACCCTGAGTGGAAATGTTCCAGCAAAAAGGACCCTGCTGGGGACCCTGGGGAGGGGTCCAGGCGCTCCCTGCAGCTCTCCCTCCCACCCCTCCCTCCCTCTGTCCCCCATGTTCAAGTTCAAGCTCTGCCTGCTGGGAGCAGGGGCACGTTGGAAAGATCTATAGACGGGATGGGGGTTGCCTCTCAGCCAACAAGTGGACCCGGAATGGGGAGGCTGGGGTCGCTAGGAGACCCTAACAGTGGGAGGGTATGTGTGCGTCCTCTGTGAGTATGTGCTAAGTGTTGTGGTGTGGGTCTCTGTACGGGTGTGGGTGTTTGTGGTGCGTGTGTAGGGGGTGTCTGGGGGCTTGTGTCTGTGGCGCATCTTTACATGGTGTGCATCTGTGTGCTGTGTGTTTCTCCGGTCTGTGTGGTGTGTTGGGTGTGTGCGTGCGTGGTGTGTGTCTGACTTGTGTGTGTGATGTGTGTGTGTGTGTGTGTGCGCGGGGCGCGTCACCGGGGGCCTGTCTGCGGCTGTCCCTGTGTGTCCGTGTGTTTCCGCTGTGAGTGGCGGAGGGGAGGCTCGGAGCTGCTGCTCAGGGTCCTCTTGACACAGAATCCATGTTTGTCAAGGAGGAAGAGAGGGACCAGAGGGAGGAGAAGGAAGAGGACGGGGAGAGGCGAGAAGAAATGAAGGGCGGGGGCGGGGACGAGGGGGGCGATGCGAGCGGAAGGGAGGCTGGTGAGAGGGGCGGCTGGCAGGGGAGGGGTCCCCGAGA